TGGTGAAATGTCACACACATGGCATTTAATACAACTTCAAACATCGGGCAAATGCACTTCTGAACTTAGATGTACCAGTATATAAACTGATATATTTGGGTAATAATAAGGGCTTTCTATAACTAGCCATACGCAAGGGAATCATAACTATTTAATACATACCACCATATAGGATCCTGACAGACTTGGCAACATCAGCTGATACATTGTCGGTCAAATATTTACGAAGGCTAGCATGTACTTCTTGTGCCTGGAAATTAATTTAACAGGTCAATGTTAAGGACAGTCTTGTATCTGGCTGAATTTTGTCAGCTCAAAGAAAAAACTCAAAGAACATACTGAAACAGATAATGGATAAAATTATAGGCTAAAAAACTTCAAAAACAGTATGCATGTAACCATTTGAACAAACTATTTCTAGGATATCAACAAAACATTAAATAGTTAACGAGTATGCAAATTAGCTAATTAACATATGCTGATTAATTTTCAAAGTACTGTTAGACCTTCAACTATAAAAACAAGTATGCATGAAACCAATTTTTAATCCATTTGAACAAACTATTTCTAGGATATCAACAAAACTTTAAATAGTTAACGAGTATGCAAATTAGCTAATTAACATATGCTGATTAATTTTCAAGTACTGTTAGACCTTCAACTACAAAAACAAGTATGCATGTAACCAAGTTTTAATCCATTTGAACAAACTATTTCTAGGATATCAACAAAACATTAAATAGTTAACGAGTATGCAAATTAGCTAATTAACATTTGCTGATTAATTTTCAAAGTACTGTTAGACCTTCAACTACAAAAACAAGTATGCATGTAACCAAGTTTTAATCCATTTGAACAAACTATTTCTAGGATATCAACAAAACTTTAAATAGTTAATGAGTATGCAAATTAGCTAATTAACATATGCAGATTAATTCCAAAGTACTGTGAGACCTTCAACTACAAAAACAAGTATGCATGTACCATGTTTTAATTCATTTGAGCAAACTATTACTATGCTATCAACAAAACATGGAAATAAACGCAGCACTTTAAAGCGAGAGGGTCGTCACCTGCGCACACACCGGAATTGAGTCCCAAGCGACAATAACACGCGCTAAAATGCAAAGGCTCATGGGTAGGCACTTGTTTGTAAACAATGGAACACTATAGCAATCTGACGCATGCGCAGGTGACGACTCCCCCGCTTTAAATTCAATTAGCACATCACAGTGCAGAGGGTGCTGTTGTGACTTTTCTTACCTGGTCTGGAGTTGCAGTCTTTCCAGTGCCGATAGCCCAGACTGGTTCATAAGCTAGTACCACTTTACTCCAGTCAGATACAGCTTCTGTAAAACAATATGTTCTTATTTTAACGCTGAAAGTTTATTGCGTTCGAACAGGGACTAAAAATCCCTGAAATGATTTATTATATGCGTAAAATCAACGATTAACTTTGATTAAGTTTTGAACAGACATTTTTTAACTCCCTGCACCCCTTTGTGCAATATGCGTCAGATCGGTGTAGAAAGAAAGCCGACCTTCAGTGTCAATGACTACGGTAGTACCTGAGATACATGCCACATCAAAATTTGAGATGAATATTATCCAGAGTAAATCAATTAACACTGTTAATTATTTTATTTTATTTCTATTTCCATTCTATTCTATATTCGTACCTTTAATGGCTTTGGTCTGCCTGAAAACAACCTCTTCTGTCTTTCCTGCTTCTCTCTCATCTAGTTTCTCACCAATACATGCGATCACTTTTATGCCACAGCTCAATGCATGACTAACTTTCGCAGCAATTAGCTGAATCGATACAGAACAGAAAAATCATCAACTATTAGCAGTCAAAATTCACCTTAATCGATATTACTCAAAAGTTTCCTACTGGCTTCAAAAGTGTCAATTCATCAATTGCAGTTAAATGCACTGCATTTGTTCCATTACAAATCTACTGTAGAATACTTTTATTTTCGCTTGGAATTTATTTTCGCTGAAGGGATGATTCAGTGCAAATATATTTCACATTCAACTCATTAAAAATCAGTGAAAATAAATTCCATACAGAACGCCCAAAAAGCCTTTTCAGCGAAAATTCCACAGTATGTTTAAAATAGTTCATAGTTGATACTAACTGCAATTTTCAGTTTATGTTCACTTCTATTAATAAAAATGATACATACAAATTTTGGTACAACTACCACACGATGGTTGTATGGTAGGCCTAAAGTTAGAATGTACCCTCTGGTGAGCCTAAATTGGTGAGCCTAAAGTCGATAAAAATGACTCAGAATAACATGAACAAAATATCAATGTACTTTGTGTCTTGTTATATACCTCATCACTTTCACCAAAGACATGTCTTCTCTCAGAGTGACCAAGAATTGCCCAATCAATACCATTGTCCTTCAACATAGCAGGGCTGCAAGAAAAACAGATGTTATGGGCTATACTGGCAAACTTGTATGCAATGCTTCATCAAAATGTGATCAGCTATAGCCATGTATTCATTGTAAATTATTAGTGTCTTCTTCAACTTTAAAGCGAGAGGGTCATCACCTGTGCACACGCAGTAATTGAGTCCCAAGCAATAATAACACACACTAAAAATGCAAAGGCTCATGGGTAGACGCCTGTTTGTAAACAATGACATGCTGTGGCCATCTGACGCATGCGCAGGTGACAACTTCCCCGCTTTAACAGGCAGACCCAAATAGCATTACAATCATGAAAACTCAGTACGAGGCTGCACTAGTGGAAAACCATGGAGCAAAAAATCCAATTTGATTAAAATCAAAAGTACTGTAAAAACTCATTGTAGTGAGTAAATAGCATGGAAATAAATACTATTTTTTTCTGTGCACAAATTAAAAGGATACAGTTTTGAGACCATGAATTTATTAATATATTTTTTTTATGGTAGATAGTGAATCTGATTTGCTTTAATCATACAACCTCCAGTTCCAAAATAAATCTCCTTAATTTAAGTTTGTACATCTGAACAAATGAACAAGCAAATTACATTCTAGCAGCTCTATATGGGCAGGATGTCAGCCTTTAGAATGTGCATTTTTAGAGAGGTCTGTAACGCATGTTTGATTGGTTTCTGATCCTACAAGACATGAACATGATTTGTATAGGTCTAATATTGTTTGATGCAATACCAATTCGCGCCCACATATCAACTATTGCCTCTTTTCTTTTTGCAGTTATTGATACTTGCCTTATTTCTCCTGTGAAAGCACCTTTTTCAACTTTGTAACAATTCTGTGCGGCAACACCAATTTGTGAGTTAAGTTTTCCGCGTACATAGGGCAAGTAAATGGGAGATGGAGCAACGACTACCTCTATTGAAGAAACAAAAATTCAAAGATGAGTGATATATGATTATCCATGGCTTTAAGGTAGCGAGAAGGGAAATTTTCACTTTTTTCTTGATTTTTCAAAAATTGATAAAACGTTCACTTTAGACCTTGATACATCATCCCAGGTTTACAAAAGATCGAAATTGCGAAATAACGTCGCTCAAATCAATGTTTTAAAACGCTAGCAGAAAAGACTACAACTGCCGTTTGCATATTGTTTATCTTTGAAAGGGTTTAAATGATAACATCTTATCTGTATACTCCGTTGTTGACGATTCTTGATATAACTGGTGATAAGCTTCCAGTTGCAAACAATGAGTGTTTATCTAACGTCCATTGTCAGCATTATTGTCAGTGAAGACTTCGTCGGAGAAACATGGCCATACAGTACTCATTTCGCCCAACCTTCCACTTTTACATCGAACGCTTAACGCTTAATTTCCGACCATGTGGTATTGTCCGAC